TTCTTGTTGCCAGATTCAATCCCAAAAACCCATGGCAAATTTCACTTATTCACTCACTCCCCTCCCTTCCTGCCGCACAGGGTCTTTGACGCCTTTTTCCTGGGGATCTGGAATCACACTGAACTAATAATAATAATAATCTTTGCGCCTTATCACGTCTTCGATGAGTCTCAAAGAGCTTCACAGGTTACACTGTAAAGTGAAATGACTGTGTATTTGTGGGTGAAAACAGAAAGTCAGGAAAGCTGTGGGTGGGAAATAGAACCAGGCAGTGCTCTGCAGGTTGATGTGAAAGAGAAAAATGCCTTAACAGTTCTGGTGCATTCATTACTAGGAACAGGCGGAGGTCATGCAGCACCTGAGCCTGTTCTGCCATTTTAATGGCTCATAATAAACCCGAACCTGTCTCTCAAGCGCTACGAGACATCATCCTACGTGAAGGAAAGTTGCAATGTGCAAATTGCTGTTTTTAATTCCGATGTTGATCAAATCTCTCCAGGGTTTGGTTTGTGTTCCGAGCCAGACTGAAGTATTGGGTTGGAGGGAATGTCCCAGTCTCACACACAAGATTTACTCTATGCCATTATGACCTCAGTGTGTCACAGCTACAAACTGAGGAGAGACCCAACTTCACATTGATTTCACAATCTCTCTCTCTCTCTCTGGCCAACACACTGAGGAACCCGCTGGATTTGCACCGAGCTCCACATTGTGCTGAACAATGTGCAGGCGGACCTCGATAACACTGGGAGGGAAGGCAAGCAAAGCATTGCTGGGATCTGTCTAATGTTTCGTATTGCGCCTGACACATCACACAGCGCAGCAGAATCTCTGGTGAAATGGTACATTTCCCTTGTGAGGAATTCCCATCTGTTGCTGTCTGTTGTGTTGGCAAAACAATGGCGAACTGTCAGAGATCACCAGGTCTTTCCATGTTAAAAGAACAGTAAGTTTGCAGCGTGTGACACGGCTGAGAGGACAGGAACCCACTCCCTGGTGCGACGCTCATACACTCTCATAGCACAGAAGGAGGCCATTTGGCCCATTGTGCTTGTGCCAACTCTCTCTGAAACAGCCACCAACTGGTCCCGCTCTTACCCCAACTGGTCCCGCTCCCCCCGCTCTTACCCCAACTGGTCCGCTCCTCCGCTTTTATCCCAACTAGTCCCACTTCCCCCGCTCTTACCCCAACCAGACCATCTCCCCCAACTCTTACCAAAACTAGTCCCACTCCCCCGTTGTCACCCCAACTAGTCTCACTCACGAGCTATTATCCCAACTAGTCCCACTCCACCCGCTCTTACCCCAACTAGTCCCACTCCCCGCTCTTACCCCAACTAGTCCCACTCCCCCCACTCTTACCCCAACTAGTCCCACTCCCCCACTCTCACCCCAACTAGTCCCACTCCCCGCTCTTACCCCAACGAGTTGCACTCACGAGCTCTTATCCCAACTAGTCCCACTCCCCCACTCTTACTCAACTAGACCCACTCTCCTGCTCTTATCCCAACTAGTCCCACTTCCCCAACTCTTACCCCAACTAGTCCCACTCCCACTCTTACTCAACTAGTCCCACTCATCCCGCTCTCACCCCAACTAGTGTCATTCCCACACTCGTACCCCAACTAGTGCCACTCCCCCACTCGTACCCCAACTAGTCCCACTCCCCCGCTCTTACCCCAACTAGTCCCACTCCCCGCTCTTACTCAACTAGACCCACTCTCCTGCTGTTACCACAAGTAGTCCCACTCCCCCGCTCTTACCCCAACTAGTACCACTCACCCCACTCTTACCCCAACAAGTCCCACTCCCCCACTCGTACCCCAACTAGTCCCACTCCCCGCTCTTACTCAACTAGACCCACTCTCCTGCTGTTACCACAAGTAGTCCCACTCCCCCGCTCTTACCCCAACTAGTCCCACCCCCCCGCTCTTACCCCAACTAGTCCGACTCCTCCGCTCTTACCCAACTAGTCCCACTCATCCCGCTCTTACACCAAGTAATCCCACTCCCCCGCTCTTATCCCAACTAGTCCCACTTCCCCCGCTCTTACCCCAACCAGACCATCTCCCCCAACTCTTACCCCAACTAGTCCCACTCCCCCGTTGTCACCCCAACTAGTCCCACGCCTCCGCTCTTATCCCAACTAGTCCCACTCATCCCGCTCTTTCCCCAACTAGTCCCACTCCCCCGCTCTTACCCCAACTAGTCCCACTCCCCCCACTCTTACCCCAACTATTCACACACACCCGCTCTTCCCGCAACTAGTCCCATTCCCCTGCTTTTACCGCAACTAGTCCCACTCTCCCGCTCTTACTCCAACTAGTCCCACTCCCCCGCTCTTACCCCAACTAGTCCCACTCCCCGCTCTTACACCAACTAGTCACACTCCCCCGCTCTTACTCAACTAGACCCACTCTCCTGCTGTTACCACAAGTCGTCCCACTCCCTCGCTCTTACCCCAACTAGTACCACTCCCCCGCTCTTACTCCAACTAGTCCCACTCCCCCGCTCTTACCCCAACTAGTCCCACTCCCCCGCTCGCACCCCAACAAGTCTCACTCACGATCTCTTATCCCAACTAGTCCCACTACCTCAACTCTTATCCGAACTTGTCCCACTCCCCCGCTCTTACTCAACTAGTCCCACTCCCCTGCTCTTACTCAACTAGACCCACTCTCCTGTTCTTACCACAAGTTGTCCCACTCCCCCGCTCTTATCCCAACTAGTCCCACTCACCCGCTCTTATCCCAACTAATCCCACTCATCCCGCTCTTACCCAAACTAGTCCCACTCCCCCGCTATTACCCCCACTAGTCCCATTCCCCCGCTCTTATCCCAACTAGTCCCACTCACCCGCTCTTATCCCAACTAATCCCACTCATCCCGTTCTTACCCCAACTAGTCCCACTCCCCCGCTCTTACCGCAACTAGTCCCACTCCCCCGCTCGCACCCCAACGAGTCCCACTCCCCCAACTCTTATCCGAACTTGTCCCACTCACCCGCTCTTACCCCAACTAGTCCCACCCCCCCGCTCTTACCCAACTAGTCCCACTCATCCCGCTCTTACACCAAGTAATCCCACTCCCCCGCTCTTATCCCAACTAGTCCACTTCCCCCGCTCTTACCCCAACCAGACCATCTCCCCCAACTCTTACCCCAACTAGTCCCACTCCCCCGTTGTCACCCCAACTAGTCCCACGCCTCCGCTCTTATCCCAACTAGTCCCACTCACTAGCTGTTATCCCAACTTGTCCCACTCCCCCGCTCTTACCCATCTAGTCCCACTCCCCCGCTCTTACTCCATCTAGTACAACTCACCCCGCACTTACCCCAACTAGTCCCAATGCCCCGCTCTTACCCCAGAGCCCCTCACACTTTTCCTTTTGAAGTACCGATCCAGTGTTATTTGCATTTCTCAACGGGGTCTAAATTGTGAGATTTGCAAAAAGATGTGTAAACAGCGGATCCTTCAGATGTGTCGCAGACCAACCCTCCTGGATTCCGCTCGGACTCCCAGTTCTGATGGCTTTCCTCTGGCTGTGATCCCGCTTGACTGGTGTTGGAGCTGAAATTATCGAGCGGGCTTCCCTGCGGGATTTGCAATTTACCCATCATCTTTGCCACTCTCCTAAACCAGGTGTTACAGTGAGTGACTCCCCGCACATTAGGCAGGTTGCCCAGCCTGACTGACTCTGGTGGCTGCGGTAGGCAATGTGTAAGATGTTGAACGATGGTAGAATAATTAAAAGTAAATAAATTTTCCATTAAGATTGGGATTGGCTGAGGAGCCTGACCACCTCACTCCCTGGGCTCTCACGTGACGGTGCCCACTGGCTCGTGTGAGATGTTTAAGATGTGGGGAGCTTGTGAGAGACGTTGAGCCCAGCTCCCGTTTGAACAAAAACACCAAATTACATTGGGAGAGCATCCCAACTCTGAATGCTCACACTTTAAAGATTCCACGGCGCTCTTTGTCTGCCTTATATTTCATCCTCTTTCAAGTTGCCAACCTCCTCTCTTTGTCTCCTCTTGCCCCCACCCCACCACCACCCCAGGTGATTCATCTCGTAGATGTTTACCTGCAAAACACTACAGTCACTACACTTTACAGTTTTACAACTGTGAAGAGCTTTGAGACGTCCTGAAGTGAATTCACTTAAAAGTTTCTTGTTATTTGAAATGCGTCTGATTAATTTCAACACTCAGAAGCATCAATGACTATGCCATTTATCATTAAACTGTGAAGTAAAGCACTTCACAGGAAATACTATTTCAGTAAGTGAGGGGTAAATGTATGGAAGAGACTTCCTTTGGGAGACGGTGGAAGCAGAAAGTGTCAATTCATACAAATCAGATATGATCTTGAACTGTATCCTCTGATGGGAAGCAGTGGGGTGGAGGGGGGGGGGTGTTGGGATCACGGAGCCTAGTGCGGGAGAGGACATGGGCTGCAGAGTTCTGGATGATCTGTAAAGGGAGGAGTAAGGGAGGCCGATAAGCAGGGAATTTGGACCTAGGGTTCCCAAAGCTTCCGACTCTGTTGTAGACAAATCCATAGAGAATTAATTGCTATCAACATCTCCATTACTGTGCATGTTACGACCGGGATGGTAGAAGGTGATCCGAGATGGATCATGGAGTCCTGTAGCTCAGTGGTTAGAGCACTCGCTTTGCAAGTGAGAGACCTGAGTTCAATTCCAGGCAGAGGGCGAAACCTTGGGCAAGTTTCCTTACTCCACACAGAGCCTAATAATAATCCCTCCAAAACCAACAACAATAATAAATTGGTCATTTTCAATCTACGACTGTTTGTGGGACATTGCTGTGCGCAATTGGCTGTCGCGTTCGCCCACAAATATACAGTCAATTCACTTTACAGTCTATTCTGTGAAGCGCTTTGGGACGTCCTCCCGACGTGAAAAGCGCTATATCAAATGCAAGGATTATTATTATTATTATTATTGTACAGTGGGGATTAATGGTTAAGCACATTAACATGACGTCTTGCTTGTTCTTGGTTTTAATGTGGTGGAAAATTGAGGCTGTCGCTGGTATCCAGAGCTGGATCACTGGCTCAGTCTGTTAATAATAATCCTTGCATTTGATGCAGGACCTTATCACGTCTTTGAGACGTCTCAAAGCGCTTCACAGAATATATTGTAAAGTGAATTGATTGTATGTTTTGTGGGCGAAATGCGGCAGCCAATTGCGTGCAACAGTGTCACACAAACAGCCGTGGATTGAGTGACCAAATTATTACTAACTTTTAAGGGATTATTAACCCAGAAAATGCGATCTGCCAACCGACTAACAACTGACGGCTGGGTAAACAGAGGTGTGTGAAGTAAAGAAACTTACCTCACGTTTCATGCTGCCTGAGAATCGAATCCGGGTCCTCTCGCTCCACATGATCATCAAAGTGGCAGACTAGTCTCAGCATCTAAGGAAACCATCAGTTCACACTGAAGACTGGTGATCACACGCGACACATCGGTCAGACAGTGTTAGTGTCAGACCAGCAAACTATAGCAGGGCTGGAGAGCCACAGCCATCAGGTAGCCTGTCCTGCTGAGGACTGCCAGGGTTTGCTGTTTTCCGTCTCGGGCAGAGAGGTGGTATTTCACAGAGAGTAGACCACTCATCGTGCCATTTTGTGGGACTGCATTATAAATGCCTTGCTCAACAATGTCAACGGCTCTTGAGTCTTCTGGTCCTATTCTCAGGGTTTGCTCGAGTCAGCTCTAGAGAGCTCGCTAAACGTTCTTTGTGTCTTTCTTTTTAGCCTCCGAAGAAGAGGCAGAGAACTGTGGAGGACTTCAACCAGTTCTGCACCATTGTGCTGGCGTACGCAGGCTATATTCCCTATCCCAAAGAGGTATGTAATCTCCCGGCCACCCAGACTGTCCTCCAGGAAAATTATACCAAGTGTTGCAATAGATTTTTTTCAACAGGAGCCCCTCAGTGACCATTGTTCCTATTGGGGTCAATCTGCAATGTGAGGCTTGATATATTCCTCGGGCCAATTGTGCACAGCAGTTTCCCACAAACAGTCGTGGATTGAATGGTCACATTTTTTTCCTTGAAGGGATTATTACCCCCGGAAAAGTGATTCGTCAATCAACCGGGTTAATACTTACTGCTAGGTAAACTTAGGAGTATGGAGTAAGGAACTTGTCTCACATTTCGTCCTGCCCTGGAATCAAACGCAGGTCCTGGAACAGGCTTGAGGGCTGAACGGCCTCCTCCTGTCCCTGGTTTCTTATGTTTCAAGACACCCGGCAGACCAAACAAAAAAAATCCTTTGCTGTGAAATGTTATTGTCTATTGTTGAAGAATGAAAATTAATGTTTCTCATTTTCCTTCTCCCCACACCATCTCCTCCATGACTGACCTCCGTCTGTTCAGCATGACCCCTGGTCACACGCTAATCTGAGTCCCCGGAACAGCACGGGCAGCACGCTGGACAGTGACAGCTGGGAGTCCTCCCGCTCCTCAGATTCCCACATCCTTCACTGCAGGAAACAGATCAAATGCAGCGCTGACAAGGAGGGCCTGAAGCGAGCGCGCTCAGACAGCCTGTTACTGGGCTGTTCGAACTTCACCAACTCCCTGTTTGACAGCCCCGAGAAGAGCAGCTCGGAGAAACTCAAGAAAAAGAAAATCTCTTCAAAAAAGATAGGACTGGATGGAGTGAAGAAGAGGAAACACCCGGAGAGCGGGAAGAAGCTGACTTCAGACGGCATTAAGAAGATTGTGGGACTTTCTAAACCCACCGGCGAGCTGGGAAAACCGAAGGAAGGCAATCAGGGTCAGCTCCTGGGCAAGGGAGGCGTCATGCCTGTGGGCAAGGCCTTGGGGTTGCCTATGGGCAAGCCTTCAGGCATGTGTATGGGCAAGATGCCAGGCATCGCTATGGGCACAATGCCAGGCATGGCTATGGGCAAGGCATCAGGCATGTGTATGGGCAAGATACCAGGCATGGCTATGGGCACAATGCCAGGCATGGCTATGGGGAAGGCATCAGGCATGTGTATGGGCAAGATACCAGGCATAGCTATGTGCAAAGTGCCAGACATGGCTAGGTGCAAAGTGCCAGGCATGGCTATGTGCAAGATGCCAGGCATGGGTGTGGGCAAGGCTTCTGGCATGGCTATGTGCAAGGTGCCAGGCATGGGTGTAGGCAAGGCCTCTGGCATGGCTGTGGGCAAGCTGCCAGGCATGGCTATGGGCAAGGCATTAGGCATGACTGTGGGCAAGGCCACAACCTTTTCTGCAGCTGTGGACAAGGCCTCAGGCATGGCTATGGCTGTGGGTGTGGATAAGGTCACAGGATTGTCTGTAGCTGTGGACAAGCCCTTAGGCGTGGAGGAGAGCAAGGCCTTAGACATGGCTGTTGCTGTGAGCAAGCCCTCAAGCCTAGCCGTGACTGTGGGTGGGGCATCGCAGAGTGAAACCGAGTCTGAAGAGGAGTCCATCAAAATATCGCCGAACACCGAAGTTGCGTGTAAACCCCCATCTCTCGTGAAAGAGTTTGGGAAGGAGGTTGAAGAGGAAAGAATGTTGGTCAAAGAAGTGAAGCAGGAGCAGGAAGTGAAACAGGAACAGGAAGTGAAGCAGGAGCAGAAAGTGGAAGAGAAGCAGGAAATGGAAAAGGAACAGGAGGAGGTCAAGACGGAGAAGAAAGAAGTGGAGGATGATCAACACAGTGAGGATTTGGAAGGCTCGATTGACGATGATGAGATGTTGGGTTCAGGTAAGGACCATTGTTACAAATCTCCCAGAAGCTCCCAGAAGCCTCCCTCCCAAGGTTGATGAGGGAAATGCGGTGGACGTTATTTACAAGGATTTCAAAAAGGCTTTTGACACAGTACCGCATAAGAGATTAATAAAAAACTGAAGGCTCACGGTATTAAGGGGACAGTGGCAGTTTGGATTAGGAACTGGCCGAGTGACAGGGAGCAGAGGGTGGTGGTTAATGGGTGTTTCTCGAAATGGAAGGAGGTGTACTGCGGTGTCCCCCAGGGATCGTTATTGGGACCACTGCTCTTTCTAATATATATTAATGATCTGGACTTGGGCACAGAGAGCACTATTTCCAAGTTTGCAGATGATACAAAGTTAGGGTAGTAAATAGTGAGGAGGACTGTAACCAACTGCAGGCAGACATACACAGAATGGTGGAATGGGCTGACATGTGGCAGATGGATTTCAATGTGGATAAGTGTGAGGTGATACACTTAGGGAGGAAAAATGATGGGAGGCAATATAGACTTGGTAGAGAGGTTATGGTTAATCTATACAAAACACTGGTTAGGCCTCAGCTGGAGTACTGCGTCCAGTTCTGGGCACCTTACTTCAGGAAGGACATTAAGGCACTGGAAAGGGTGCAGAGGAGATTCACGAGAATGATACCAGGAATGGGGAACCTTAGCTATGAGGATAATAATAATAATAATCCTTGCATTTGATATAGCGCTTTTCACGTCGGGAGGATGTCCCAAAGCGCTTCACAGAACACACTGTAAAGTGAATTGACTGTATATTTGTGGGCGAACGCGGCAGCCAATTGCGCACAGCAATGTCCCACAAACAGTCGTAGATTGAAAATGACCAATTTAATTATTGTTTGTTTTTTTGGAGGGATTATTATTAGGCTCTGTGTGGAGTAAGGAAACTTGCCCAAGGTTTCGCCCTCTGCCTGGAATTGAACTCAGGTCTCTCACTTGCAAAGCGAGTGCTCTAACCACTGAGCTACAGGACTCCACATACAGGATAGGCTGGAGAAGTTAGGACTTTTCCCATTAGAGCAGAGAAGGACCTGATAGAGGTCTTCAAGATCATGAAAGGTTTCGACAGGCGAGATAGGGAAAAGCTGTTTCCGCTGGTAGGTGTGTCTGTGACCCGAGGTCACAGTCTTAAGATATCTACCAAAAGAAGCAGAGGGGAGGTTAGAAGAATTTTTTTCATTCAGCGAGTTGTTAGAATTTGGAATGATCTGCCTGAAAGGGCAGTGAAGTCCGATTCGATAACAGCTTTTAAGAGAGAACTGGACAGGTGTCTGAGGAAGATGGGTTTGCAGGGTTATGGGGAAAAAGCTGGTGATTGGGGTAAGTGAAAGTGACGCTCTTTCAAACAGCTGCACAGACTCGATGGGCCGAATGGCCTCCTTCTGTGCTGTAACATTCTATGAATCTCTGAATCTATAAGCTGAAACATCTGCTCATAGGTTCTACCCTGAGCATGTTGCTCTATCACCATTGGCCACGTGTTGCTCTACCACCTGCGGCTTGGGCTGGTCTGATCGTTGTTTGGATGAAAGCCTCAAGCAGCAAGTTTCAATTCAGTTCTTAAATGTCTGTAGATTACAGCCCTAACTGTCTCAAGGTTGCATCGAGAGTGAGAATTTGCTTAAATCCCAGAGGGGTGCAATTTCACAGCTATGACATCCTGTAGCACCAAGGTAGCCCCGCTCTGGCCTGGCTCTGCCCTGGATCACGGTCATTGTATCCTCAAACCACCAAGACTCTCTGTCAATGCTAGGTGAGGGCAGGGAGGAAAACCAGGAGGAGAGAGATTTATACTTCAAACAAGTTATATCTCTAATCCTAACATTGTACTTGAGACCAGTGTAGGCAGATCGTTGGAGTAGGTGTATGGGTCAGTCACTCTTTTGGGCAGGTTGTTGGGTTCTGCCTTTAGGAACAGAAAGAAATAATAATCCCTCCAAAAAAACAAACAAAAAAATAAATTGGTCATTTTCAAACTACGACTGTTTGTGGGACATTGTTGTGCGCAATTGGCTGCCGCGTTCGCCCACACATATACAATCAATTCACTTTACGGTATATTCTGTGAAGTGCTTTGGGACATCTAGAAGATGTGAAAAGCGCTATATCAAATGCAAGGATTATTATTATTATAAAGAGGCCATTCAGCTCCTGAAGCCTGTTCACGGCGACTTTGTTGGAAGAATTGTTGCTCTCTCGAGTTGAGATAAGTTTAAAATGATAGGTTTAAGTGATAAGGCGCTCTATCAAATGCAAGGGTTATTATTATTATTATAACCTTGTGCATCACTTTCTCTTTCAGCACTTAGTGATGAGTCGTCACCTACAGAAAACTTGAAGATAGAAGGTAAGTCTGTCACTCAACAGATGGCAGCTGAGTGCCAGGAACGACTTGCAATACCTGGCCAGTCACCAGGGGGCGATGTTGGGGGGTAAATATTGGGTAGAAACTTCACTTGGGTCTAAATCTACACTATTTCTGTAGTATTTCAGAGAGTCCAAAATTTGGCAATTTCTTAATTTTGAAGCTGGTTTCTGCAACCTGTTTTGCGAACGACAGAAAATCAGCTTCCATCCTTCGGATGAGACATTAAACCAAGTCCGTCTGCCTGTCGAAGTGGACGTTAAAAATCTAAAGATTTTTCAGCACTTTTTGGAAAGCGACGGGAGTCTCTGTCTCCCGGTGTCCTGGCCAACAATCCCTCAAATACAATTCGACATGGTTGTTTGTGGGACATTGCTGAGCACAAATTGGCTGTCACGTTCATCCACAGAACACACAGTCACTCGCACTGTACAGTGAATCCTGTGAAGTTTCCGATGTGAAATGCGCCTTACCAAATGTAAAGAGTATTATCACTGAAAGTTAATGCTAAGCCAGCTTCTAAATTAAGACTCAATTTAAGACCTTTCCACAGTTCTGGATGATAAGTCAAAAAACAAAATAGTCTCACTAACTGAGATCAGTTCACTTCACAGTATATTCTGTGAAGCACTTTGAGATGTCTCAAAGACGTATTAAGGCGCTATATCAAGTGCAAGGATTATTATTTTGTTCTTGAGATTGTATAAATCAGGAGCCCGTGAGAGCTGAAGGGTTGGGTTGGGATAAATGACTCCCTGCTGTGTAGGTGTGTCGCCATGTTACTATGTGAGTGTGTAACACTGTGTGTTTGCTCTTCCAGATGACGACTCCTGGGATCTGATCACGTGTTTCTGTATGAAGCCGTTTGCGGGCAGACCTATGATCGAGTGCAGCGAATGTGGCACATGGATCCACTTGTCCTGTGCCAAGATCAGGAAATCCAACGTCCCTGAGGTTTTCATCTGTCAGAAGTGTAAGGATGCCAAGCAGGACATTCGGAGATCCAACCGGGCACGCACAGGCCCCAAGAAACGCTTCAGCGAATGACTATGTGGTGCCGGTCTGGAGGCTGGACACGGTGACGCTGGCAGGTCTTAGAGACAATCATGGAGAAGGGAGTTTGGGAACTTGACGGCCATGTCCTGTGTCCTGGGCTGGATTCGAATGTTGCCTTTTTGTCAAAGAAACAAAGTTCAGTGGTGCAGCGTTCACTTTACATTGAATCTGTATATAGTTCAGAAACTGGAGCTGTTTGCTTCTCTCCTCCCGCCTCCCCCAGTCGCCCAGTACCGGCCGATCTCCATTGTTGACAGCAGGACTTCGGGAGCTGAGGAGACAGTTTCTGTGGTGTGGTACTTAAGGAGGTTTCAATGAACAGGAAGCAGGACTTCTTTATAACCAGATCGACGCCATAGGTTCGCTGTAGCTGTACGTGGGGCCATGGTCAGTGTGTCGAGAGGAGCTGGAAACCTAGTATAGCGGAGATTCCTGTTATAACAATGTTAGTCAGGATCTGTTGGTCCACATCTCTCACGCTGGGTAACAGGCAAAAGCTCCCCAGACATCGACTTCCAGAAGTGAATCAGAAGCCAAAGATATCAAATGGAAGAGCTGTGCCCCAGCTTCAGGTGTTACTATGCAAAGGCCCAGGCGTACACTTCTCTCAGCGTTAAAATATCTGAGAGAATCTGAAACATCCCAATACAAAAGGGTAGAACTTCACCACTGTCTGATCTCCCTCCGGCTCCAGTCAGAGCAGTTCTGACTGTAATGGATCTTTTCCCGTAGGATGTATGAGTTGGTTGTACTGCGCTGGTGAAGTTAACCCAACACACCAGGGGCAAACTGCGGCTGGCAAACACACCGTTTGATGTCCATGTGTTTGACGTCAGTCCTGGCCTCTTCTTCAGCTGTTGTTCAGTTCCACAGCAGGAAGTTCAGACCCTCCCCCAGTGACTGCCGACTCTGGTGATCTCTCCATCTCTCCGCTGGCAGTTAATGTCACTCACCCCTGCCCCCTTCTCTTCCCTGAAATTCATCCTTACCTTGGAAGGGCATTCTGCAAAGGCGGTGGATGTGAAGGAAGATTAAAGCCACAGGTAGAGGTTGGGTTCTGGTGTGTCTGTACTGTGACAGAACCAGAACCAGAACCAGCTCAGAACCAACCAGCATTAGTGATGTCCATTACTGTTACAATCATGTAATCTGAACCCTGCAACAGTTTTTACCAAACCCACCCCGTGTCTGTGAGCAGCAAAGCTTATTCCGTTGGCTGGGGCTCTCATTGTCTGGCCATGGGTGATGGGGTGTGTCTTATGTTGGCACAGTATCCATTGGGATTGTGATGGAGTGTTCGGCACAAAGGAGCGTCTGAGCAACGCTTCGGTTCAATGTGCAACAAACAGTAGCAACTGGTCAAAGAGGACAACTTGGCAAAAACTTTTTTTTCTTTTTAACTTTAGTGCTGTTCAAACCACCTGGGGTCTTAACGTTAACTGGATTCCTACTGACTGCTCCAACACTGCGGGAATCCAGTACAGAGAATTAAGCTACGGCCAGAGGTTCAGTGTGCTTGGATTTCAGGAATTGGTATGAATGAGCTTGGGAGGAAAAGGTCTTCATGGACATGGTTGGAGGGGACGTATGTTGGAGCTGAAACACTAGCCTTCACTACTATTAGCTCCACAATCATTTGTCTCTTCAGTCGAGTCTGTCTTTATTTTGTGTTGTGTCTCCTCCCCCCACCTCCCCCCACCCACTGTAAATACTACTCAAAGCTGATCTGTAAATAATTCTGTACGAAGAGTATCTGGAAGTAAAAGATGAGATGATGGTGAACTGAGCGCAGGAAAGACAGATTTTGAGGTTTAAATTGCACTATTGCCTTTCACTGTAGGAGTTTTTTGCCTGAGGGTCCTGGGCTGACTTTCTATTACTTTGTATAAATGTAAGATAATTAGGTTGTTTTCAAAGGCGCAGGAAATGCGTAAAATGTACCCGTTTCCTTAAGTTCGTAGACTGTTTGTGTCGGTGATACCTGCTCCCGGGACATTGGCTTATTTTGTTTTTGGGGATGATTGGGAGAGGCTTTTAGAAATATTGTTTTCTTGCTGCCTCTCTGCCATGTTCCTTTGTGGTGGTGGTGGTGGGGGGCGGGGGCACGTTTGTCACAGGACGGGGTGATCAGCCTCCAGCTCCCCCGGGACTGGAAGTCCGATCCTGCTTTGATACACTCCCAATGATTCCACCCCCCGCATCCCTCCTCCAGGATGACTTGGAGGATGGAGCTGCCCCCCACCCCAGTGGAGGAGAAGGAGCTATTGAGGCTGATTTGTGATATTCACAAACAATATTGGTTGAGTTTAATGTGTAGGATTCTCCTGATTTCCTAGTTGCAGAATTTTCCATAAAGGCCTCACTTGGCAGACAATTTTCCCACTTGTCCGAGTTGGGATTAACGTCAACACCGCAAATTTACACGACAAACCCAGCCTGCAGGTGTTGGGTATTAGTTTATTGTGAGGGGCTGCTAGTCACAATCACGCCATCAACTCTTTGTTGCAAATGTGGAGGAGGGGGGAGATTTTGCACTGTTTCTTAACAAATTTCTTGACTTGAGAAATGCTGATTTCCATGACGTCAACTCACGGGGAAAGGGGCTGAGACTCAATCCGGTTTTCAGAGCGAGTTTCCTTGGGATCGGAGTGTCGTATGTGCTGTGTCTGGTTACTGGAAATCAGTTAGGAAATACTGCAAAATGGGCTCTCCTCTCCCTCGGGCCCCGAGTTGTGCGGTTGACAAACTCCAGTTGGTGATTTGAGGAAATGGCCCTGAGCGTCTGTCTGGCTGGATTTTTTTATACATTATATTATATTGAAAACACGTTTCTGTACTTCTTTTTGCCTCTTTTTAAAAAATACATTGACTTTTCTATCAGCCGAGGTGTCAGGTTATTTTATAATCTTGTGGTTTTGTTTAAAGTGCTTCGCGAGTGGGAAGGAATCTGTTACGCAGCCATTTAACGCACATTACATTTCAGGTCTTGGACACTGCTTGTAGTGACCTCACTTTACCCCAAACCCCTGTCTGTACTCAGCAGGGAGGAAGGGAGGGGAAAAAGAGTGAGAGGTGCTGTCAGCTCACTCAGCATCGACCAGTTGTGGAGGCCGATACCCACATTCCCATTAGACCTGTTTTTGGTGTGAAGAGAAACTGCTCTCAGACTGACTCCAGTGGCTCCTTCCCTCAGTCAGTTTGGGTTTTGTTCTGAGCGTCCGCTGTCTGCCAATGCTCTGTGACGGTCTCTAGTCTGGTTCCTAAGCCAGGCGGGTCCACAATATTCCAAGGAACTAACCAGCCTGGCTCATTGGCATGACCTGGAAGGGCAGACCAGTCATTGGGAATAGGGAATCGTCCCACTCAGCTCCAGTTAACCCTGCAGCCAAAGCCCCAATGAGAAGGGCGGTCCGAGCTGGAATAGCAGCAAGAAAGACAGTGCTTTCAATGCCAAGCTGAACAATCCCAGCAGTTACCCCAAGGCATACTCTGGAGTCCCTGATCCTTGGCTCTCACCAACCTGCTCCTAATACAGCAGCGTGCATTCCTCTAGTCTAGGGAGAGAGTCTGCATTCCCTTCCACATGGAAATTTCCGTGTGTAGGTGGGATCCGTGAAACTGTCTGTTTGAATATTCCTAAGCACAGTGAAAGCTTTCTACGTGTGTCACTCGCTGAGCAGCAACTAAAGGCCAGAGCCAAGCAAGAAGCACCCCTCAGCACTGAACTAACCAGCTGTCGATTAAAACGTATCTCATTTGAATATATAAGTGTACAAACCAATGCCCCCCCACCCTTCTGTAAGCTGTGGTAGGGAGGGAAGGTGACGTCAGGCTTGCAGGACTGGGTAAGTTGGCTCATCAACATGGCTCAGAATAATACACTAAATGTTCTGGAGACAGCACAAACCCAATGCCTTAGTCCTCAGTGGGTCAGTGCGGTGGGCAATCCTGTTTGGCTGCACCATCCATTCAACTCAGGAATGTTGGCAACTCAGCTGCCTCCCATTTCCATCGCAGGCATTGGCAGTAATGGACTGGGGACAGCGCAGCTCATTGGCAGACACTGCAGCAAAGATACGGGCGAGGAAAGCTGTAACTTACTGAGAACCACTGAGTAGCCTGCGGGGTCACCTCATTCCTCAGCAGCATTCCTGGTACTCGAAGAGTTAATCGACGCACTCACATTTTTAGCTGCTTCACTTTCTTCCCTTTATGTTTTGTACTTTTCCAGTTTGGAACCTTGTTTATCCCCCGCCCTGGGCTCGGTTGGAAACCGTTGACAAGAGTTTGTTTGACACTATTTAAACCTGTACAAAATTATGAGACAATTTCAATGTAAAGTTGTACAGAGAAAGGATTTGCCATTTCTGGGTGATCCCACCGTCATGTCCAGTTGGATACGTTGTGTATAAAACAAATAAAATTCTGTTTTTGCTTTAATTAAAGGCATTGAAGCGCATTTCTGCTCATTTTCTCTGACGCACATTTTGGTTTTCGCAGCGATAATAATTCTCCCCTTTGTTGCAGCGCCTTTCACATCAGGAGAGCATCTCAAAGATCCATACAGGACTCTCTAAAAAGTGTAGTGACTGTTTTGTAGGTAATCATTGGGTTGTGATTCTACATTAGTTATACATTTTTGAATGCGCTTTTGGTCAAACCCCAAAATTCCTCTTCCTCTCTGTGCTGCTCGGGCTCCGCCACTGTTAAGTGCTCCAAGGCCCCACCCCACGCACAGGGGGATAAATAAATGCAAGTTGTTGCTCAGCAATCCCCATCCCCTCTATGCGGAGTTTTGAGAAGTTCACCCAGAATCAATGGAAGTCAGAAAAGGTTGATAGTTGTTGAGTTTTGCAAATGTTTTGCAACTCAACCCCAATACATTATTATTGATTTTAATACCCTGATGTTTCGTGTCGCTGGAGGTGAAGAATTGAGCTGCTGGGACAGTGAGGACCAGGGTCAAGGGTGAGCAGCAAAAAGGCACTTCAAAACACCGCATAAACAAAACGCAAAATACTGCAGATGCTGGAAATCTGAAACGAACAGAAGTCGTTGGGAACCTCAGTAGGTCAGGCAGCATCTATGGAGAAAGAAAAATCAGTCAATGTTTTGGGTCGTTGCTACCTGACCTGCTGTTCCCAGCGACTTCTTGAAACACCACGTGATTGACTCACAACCGGTGTGTATAACACGAATATATGTAGTTATTCCCATTGTTGATTGTGTCTTCCAAGTGCAAAAGTTGCGGGAATTCTTTTTCAAAAAATTGGAAAAAATATTATCCAATAAAAATCCCCCAACTATGCTATACTAATAAAATAACAATGTCTGTCTGCCTGCCTTCAAGAAGGATCTCAATAACTGATTGACAGAGACATGATTGGGAAGGTTTTGTATCTAGGAGTGACACGGGCATATTTGTATTTGGGTATCTCCTTTTGTTCATGAGTTATGACCTAAAATGTCTATTTTAGTTTTGCATTTTCTGCTACAGTTACACCCAGTGGCCGCTGAGTCAACGTGTCGCTGTGGCATCCTGTGGCACAGAGCACTTACGTATGTACACACGCACTGCAGTTACACCTGGTGGCCTTACCGGCTGACCTTGGCGCTGTACCATACTGCGTCACAGAGCACGCGCATAGCGAAACGGCGGCAGAAGCAAAATAAAGAACATAGCTGAAGCTAAGCCGCGGTAATAATATATTATTAAAGCGCTGAGTCCTCCCACAGGAGTCCTCCCAGATGAGTGTCGATAAACATGAAATATCAGTCTGTGTATCAATCTACGTTCCACATTGGATCCTTTGATTGCAAGTGAAGCTGTAACTGGTACAGCTGGTTTCTAATAAATACAATAAATCTTAGCATTTAATGGAGCACTGAAATGTCTTAACTCACTTCCCAGTTAATTGTTGTCAAGTGTTGTGACTTTTTTTCATCAATCGTGTAGAAAAGAACCACAAACAGCCATGAGGTGAGGGGTTTCAATTTCTCTGGAATGACGGCCTGGATAAGGATATAAGAATTCTTGGATAAGGTGAAAGAAGGTCAAGGCCCACCCAGTTCACCTTCCACCATCCTGGCAGTCGCTTGACATGTTGTGTCCCAAACTATATATTTTATCCCGAGAATTGGCTGCTGTATTTCGTCCACAAAATAAACAGCCAATTCACTTTACAGTATATTCTGTGAAGCGCTTTGCGACGTCTCGAAAATGTGATGAGGCTCTGTATCAAATACAAGGATTTTTATTATTATTTCCTGAATTTGACAAATTCTTAAATATGCTTTTCTGACGGTATGAATCCCTTTTTAAAAAAATAACAATAATTTGGTCACTGAATCTATGACTGTTTGTGGGGACACTGCTGTGTGCAATTGGCACTTTGCAGTTCATTCTGTGAAGCGCTTTGAGACGTCTCGAAGACGTGATAAGGCCCTAAATCAAATGCAAGGATTATTATTATCTATTTGTTCAAAATAATAAGCATGTTTTTCTTTTCGAGGCTTCGGAAAGACTTTAAAGAAGGTCTACAGAGATAACATATACTGGGAGAAACAGCCCGGAGCACACTCCCTGAGATCACCATGTTTATACTAAAGAAAGAGTCCATTCATGACAACGTTTTCCATTAAAAGTAAACTTTTATTTTGTTTTTTTTCAACTAAACAGCTAGTTGACCTACAGATATACAATGCCAGTTTATTAGTCCGTCCAACTCCCCAACCAACACCTCCCACAAGATTCCATCCACATGCCATCGTGTAACAATCCTGAATCCTTTCAGCTTCCAGCTACCCTCTTAGCGCCTTGTCTCATTCCTGTTTAATCTCCTTCAGTCCCTTGTTCCATCACAACTGCTCTGTGACTTTCACACGCCCATCACCCTTCCACTGAGAAGAAATTCTCCACACTTTCTGTTCATTGTTGTACTTATTTTGAAGTATTGACCTCAATGGCAGAAAAACTTATCAGTCCGCAAATCTTCCCGACAACAACAACAACAACAACAAGATTCCATTTATAAAGCGCCTTTCACGTCAGGAGGACGTCCCAAGGCGCTGCACAGTTGGGTCATGACCCGAGCAGGGGGGAAATGGTCAGGGTGAGGGGAGGGAAGGGAGGGAGAGAGGAGGGGGGAAATGGTCAGGGTGAGGGGAGGGAAGGGAGGGAGAGAGGAGGGGGGAAATGGTCAGGGTGAGGGGAGGGAAGGGAGGGAGTGAGGAGGGGGAAGAGAGTCGAGAGGGGAGCTGAAGGCACGGTCAAAGAGAAAGGTCTTGAGACCGGCCTTGAAGGAGGAAAGAGAGGAGGCGGCGAAGGCACTGGGGGATGGAGTTCCAGAGCCTGGGGGCTGAGAGGCTGAAGGCCCGGTCACCGATGGTAGGGCGGTTGGGGCGGGGGACGTGGAGCAGACCGGAGCCAGAGGAACGGAGGGTACGGGCAGGTAGGTAGGGGGATAGTAGGTTGGAGAGGTAGGAGGGTGCGAGGCCGTGAATGGCCTTGTAGGTGAGGATGAGGATCTTGAAATCAATCCTCTGGGGGATGGGGAGCCAGTGGAGGCGAGCGAGGGTGGGAGTGATGTGGTCCCGAAGCCTGGTGCGGGACAGTACACGAGCTGCAAACAACATGGTAGAGATCTCGAACAAGGCCCCCACCTCCCCCACCTCGCGCCCCCACCAACCAGCAAGCGAGAATAGTCCCGCTTGATTAACCCAACGGTTAATCTCTCATTGCTCCATTCCCTAAAATTCTGCAATTAATCTTGTTGCTCTCCACTACTCCCCGTCTAGCACAACAACTAATTGTAATTTTAGATTTATATAGCGCATTTCACACCAAAAAGACATTACACAACCCAATGCGAAATAAAAATACCAGAAATACTATCTTCTCACAGCACACTGATAATTATCAGTTTTAGCTTAGACCAGGAATCAGTCAGCCTTCGCTGACAGATATTTCTCTCTAACATTATCCTGAGTCAAAATAACTTCCCAGAAAGCATAATAACGCTGTTAGCCCTTAAAATTCAGCAATACTTTCACTTATCATTAACGGTTCTCCAGTAACAAGCACAGAAATAGCAGAGTGCGGTCGCTCACTAAGTGTGACCCCAGGCTGGGGCCTATTCCTCTCTGGCCAGGATGCCATTCTCTCTCTCCAAGTGTGGCACCACCGCCTCCATGTAGAACTGTTCCAGTTTGGGACGTGTTTCCTCCCAGAAAGGTGCATCAAAGTCAACTGGAACCACGACCGTCTCACGCTCCGTGTAAACCACAAAATCAGCCTTACGCAGCTCTGCCACAGCCAACTGGCATTGCACTTGTGTGAAATAAGCATGTTTTTCCTTCAGGAAGTATTGACCTCCTTTCTTTCCCAAGCAGAACATGGGATCCT